ATATATGTATAAATATCTTCATACGCATACATACAAACCATAAGAAGTTTGAGTGATCATTTACGTACATACATACCAACATATACCTATGAATGTAAATGCGGGCGCGAAATTAAGACGCATACTAAATATTTAAAACGCAATTGAAAGCACAACGTCGTTAACTTTAAAGCTTTGTGTAAGTAAGAAATTGTTGTTCGCCTTTCGTCCGGTTGCGAACGAGTTGATTGCTTATGTGTCTGCCTGTGTGTGTATGATTTGTGTGTGTGTGAACATGCCATCAAATTGGCAAAAGCGCAGCTACAAAGAAAAAATGTGCATAAGTGTGTAATTTGGTGAAAGTTTCATTTCAAAGAACAGTCAGCCCAATGAACGTTCAGCCAATCTACATAATTGTGATGGAATAATGCTTGACAGTGTGGTTAAATCTGTGTGTGTTTTGTTTGTAGATAAAATGTTGCATTTGTCTTTAAATTGTTTACTAATATATCATGTTTAATATTAAATTTATTATTGGTGTTTATTACATGTGCGCGCTCTACGCTCTCTCTCGCTGCCTCTCTCTCTCTCGCTCTCGGTCATGAAATCGTATGTGAATACAAATAACGGCATTTCAAATACAACGACAAATGCACTGGAAATTGCAACAATATTTAACAAATACAGCAGGTAATATATACATATGTAAATTTAAATGATAGATACTCTTATAAATTATACTCTTTATGTATATAATTAGTAGATTGTGTAGTTAGAACCTCTTGCATGTCTATCGCTCAGCTGACGCAGGTCACAAGCACATATGTACATATATGTACATACACTAATACAAATGCACAGAGATAGGCGTGCATTTGTTCTACTCTCTCTCTCTCTCTCTCACTTACACCCGTTTGTTTTCCCTTTGCCGGCGTGGCGGCTCAAATATCACGCCACCTGATCCAATGGTCCGTGTCAAAAATACAAATGCAGTTGGTCTTATACTACGTTTCTTCAACTTCTACTTATACCTCTCGCTTGCTTTATAAGTTGAAATTTTGTACAATTTGTTATCGTGGTATAAACAGTGCTCGCGTTGACCTAGTTTTCAATTTGCAGGAGAGCAAATGCAGTGAGCGCCACGCAATATTTGCATTATGCAATGTTGTCAATGGCAACCAGAATAAATTAAACAAACCATTTGTTTATTTGCTTATTGATTTGTTGTGCTAAAGGTTTATTGTTTTTCTTTTTTTTTAGTAGATGCAATTTTGTTGATTATCTGATTATATATTTAACAATGTTTTATATAATATATAATAATATTCAGTTTTATTAATGTGCTTCATCATTTCACAATTTGGTCTCTCTCTCTCTCTCTCTCTCTTTCTGGCTCTTTTGGCTGTTGGGCTACTTCCCCTCTTAGCACGTGCATCAAGTGCTTTCTTGTAAAAATACGCGCACGCTCTCTTCCAGGGTCGTCATTCTCTCTCGTTCTGGCGCTCGGCTGACTCAGTCGCTCTGCTTTTACACCCACTCGTCTGTGTCTGCTTGCTTTATAATATACCAACTGAAAATCATGCGAGCTCTCTGCTGTTTCTGGACTTTGAGGGTCACGAGGCGGGAGTCTGCTTGGGGGTCATCTGTTCGTGTGTGTGTGTTTGAGTGTGTGTGTGTTTGAGTGTGTGTGTGTTTGTGTGTATTGCGATGTGTCATCTGTTTATGTTGTTGTCATCAACAGCAGCAGGCAAAGGCACTGGCTGCCCAGCTGAGCCGACCGCTGATGGCCAGTGAAATTGTTGATGCAAACTAGCGACGGCGAACTGATTTCTCGGGTGCGGCTTTATGTTATGGCCCGGAAGCAAATGCCCTTTCCAGTCTCTTATCAAACGCGGCAGCTGAGCAACAGTCACGTTTATTAATTGCGATTTTCAATTTTTACCGTTTGTCGGTTAGCTATAAATGTGAGTTGTAAATGAAGTTTTTGCGACAGAATGAGAAACCCAAAAAGAAAAAATTTAAAAATATAAATAAATAAATAAAGTACAAATAAAAAACATTAAAATATGAAAGTTTTATAAATACAGTTTATTTGTGATTTACAAGAGAAAAAGTTGCATTTGTTTCATATTTTCTTTTCATTTGATTTATTTTTATTCATTTATATATTAAATATCTCTATCTACCCGCATCTTTCAATATATTTTATAGTTCCTTTCAATAAAGTAATACAAATGTATTTACTGTCACACACGCACATGCATACATGTAACATATGCATGCCTTTTGCTTACACACACACA